ATAAGCACTGTAACTTATTATGAGAAGAGTTTCACTTGCAAAATTTGTATGATCCCCTCCAAAACTTTGTCCCCTTTTACCAAGATAATAAAAGATGGGCATATAAACATTGGATTTTTTTCAACAGAGAAAATGAGAGTCAGCTTAACTCTACATAGAGACAATTTAACTCTCCATAGATAGAGTTAAACTCTTATCTGCCTATTGTATTCCCAGCAAGATATTTTTACCTAATTCACTACCAGGCTTCCAGGATTCCTGTATTCCAACCATGGACTTTCACGTGGTTTTGTCCCCTAATATCCTATCTGTTCTGTTCATATTATATGTAACAAAGGCACAGGAAGCTCATGAGTGTAGGATCTTCTCAGCTGATACAATAAGAACTATCCAGTCTAAGCAGAGAAGAGAAGGAGGAACAAAATAAAGAAATGTCTATCACAAATATAATTGTGACCAATGGCAAATGGAAGATCATTGATTCCTCTGCCCCAAAATGCCACTGTGTTGCCAAAAGAGAAGAAAATATAGGGCGTCTTTCTATACATAGCAAGAAAGGAAAAAAGGAAAGAAGAAAATAAAATATTTCATAAAATATGCATAAATTCAAATTTAGAAGTAAGCACTATACTCCACAATTATTTAAGTAGATATACAATATTTTTATCAGGGGTCAATGATATCTGTGTCTACATTCTTATTGATGATGGACAATTTCAAGGTTCTTGATTCCCTTCTGGTTCTTTCATTTCAATAGCCTTCCATGCAGTTTTCTATAAAGCAAGACAAGAAGCCATTCTAATAAAATGTTTGGGGAGAAATTTAAAGAAAGAGAACCTCAAGAGAGAGAGGATGGGCCTTTAATGGATTTTAAAAGTATTAATATTCCAACTCTTTGAAAAAAGTATGTCCACATTTACCACATTGAATTTTGGTTTGCTTTTATCAAAAGAATTACAAAAATTTTAATTCTTCCTTCACTAAGTTGGTTTAGGAAGATTTTGCAAGGGCTAAATGTGTAAGACCTAAACAACAAGTAAGAACATTGCATTTTGCAAAACCTGACTTGCTAGACAAAAAGGGAACCTCTTAGTTAAATGAGGTAGTGCTTATAAAATTTTAAAATTCAAATCTGTGAAGGCAAGTATTTATATGCATGGCTGTAAAGACTAAAATCTCTTTTGTGGAAAAACACAGGAAAATGACATTTTTCAGTGTATAGGCTGCAAATGTAGTAAATTAATAATATTAGTTGAATGAAAGCAAACTACCCAATGTATTATTTGGTGTTATTTTCTAATCAATTTGCTTAAGAATTATCCAGCAGTATTTTATCCTTAGGGAAAGCTATATATTGAGTTAGCTAAATGGGTCTCTTGGGAATTAGATCTCTGAGGTAATGAAGGTAGAATGATCAAGAATAATCAGCCATGTAAGAATATGTGAAGAATAGGACTAAGAGTATCAAATGAGTGATTCTAAGGAGCAACATTCTAAAATTACAGAGATGTCAAAGCTGCAAATATCTTGCATCTCAAATTATGCAAAACTCTGAGGATCAGCCATTCATTGCATTCTTCATACAAAGACAGGGGGACAAGCTGACAAGGCTCTTTCGTGTCACATTCTGGCATGGCACTACTGAATATATCATCTAAAAACCTATTTGTAGAGAATGATTAACAACAGTAAATTAGGAAATTATCCTAACTCATCCAAGAAATGATGAGTGGTCCAAAAATATATTTGAATATAGTGCATGTAATGTGGTTTTTAATCAAGACCTTAATTTTGCATTTCCCACATTCTGAGTACTGAAGCCAGTGGCTAACTGTCTAATTAAGTTAAGACTCAGTTTGTTTGCTAGTATAGTTCCACGTTATTAAATGTTATTCAAAGTGTCTCTAGATACTTTGAGGTATCTAGGTAGAATTGGGCTTACAACACTGAAAGTGAAATACGTACTCGTACATTTTGACTGTACAATTTTTAAAAAAGGAGTAACCAGAGAGCTGTGACCCTTAAGAATTATTAACATCTGTTCCTCATTTCCCTGTGTGGCCGCACATTAGATAAATGCATTTATTCATAGCTATATAGTGGTGGACCAACATCAACAATGGCATGACACAAGGGGCTCCCAGAATTAGTCAGTGTGTTGGACATAGTCATGATTAGGTTTTCATAATGAGGAATTTTAAAAGTGACAAAGTCACAGAAATAGCAAGTAACCTTCCGTAGTTCATAAATGACGATTCTGTTAAGTAAGTGAGTAAATAAACCAAAAAGTAATTAGACAAATAAATAAATAATGTCACATACTGACTAACAAGTCCCGAGAATTAACAGAATATCATAATGGATCCAGTTAACAAACCCGTAATTAGACTGTCAGTGGCATTAACTTCATCTCCTACTAATAGGGTACCTTCAAGTGGAAGCAGCCAATGCTGTTAAGCAGGTTATTTATTTTATGTCCTAATTAATCAGTACTGACACTGAGCCACATCCTTCCTCCTTCCTCATTATTTAAATTACCCATTTATATGGATGAGCCTCTTTGCTTTGTGCATTTCATTACCACATTAAGAGGCTCCCTGAACAAGAAACACTGCTAGCCCTTCAACATGTGCCTCTAACAAATTATACACTTATGCTTTCTCAACCACTAAAATACGATACACTGACCTTCAGAGTGAGGAACTATCTAATGGCATCAAATGCAACAGGAGAAAATCACCAGGGACTTTGGCAAAGTCATTGAAAAAAAGATCAGGCAGTTTTACAAAAAGAAATCAGTACTGAATGGCCCTTCCAGCAACAAATGTTTGAAAGACGTGGCTATGATCGCGTAGAAAGGCCAATGGTACATCTTGATGGTTTTAGACCTTGGACTTTTCCATTACGTTATGTTATTTTAATTGTGAAGCACTCAAAAACAGTTATCTTCTCTCCCCACCATTATTCCATCCTTTGCAACTTCTTTTACACAGACACACAAATAAAGAATAATGTTCAAGCTACTACATGCAGCTTCATGCTTTAAATTTGCTTAAATCATGACACCGTCACAATCTGAAGAATAAAATACCCTTTGCTTCTGCTGCCCGGATGCTAAATGTATTTACTTGGGAATTAATATCATTTAAATGGAGAGAAAATGCTATACTTTTTGAAGTAGAAATAATAGAAAGCAACTATATACATTTTTTTCAAAGTAAAGGACAAGAAAGGATGTTGTGACGTGTTTTTATTTATTTGTATCTTAACTTTTGATTGAAGGGTCAAATCTTCATATTTTTGTTGAGGAGCTGGCCTCTCTAGAGATTCAAAATATGAACAGCTTTGATTTAATTAACATTGCTTTTTTGTACAGTTCTTATAACTAACCCAACTGGAATCTTTTTCCATGTGCAATATCAGTAAAATATGAAACCTATTAACAGTCAAAAGCAAAAGACTGAAGATCATTATAAGATCTGCCCGTGCTGGTTCTACTGAATTCAGCAGTAAATATTTGTTACTGTTTTCTGCCCTGAATAAGTAAGAAAATACTCAATAAAATGTTCATTAATTGTCATTACTGATCTGTTACTGAGTAACAGACTATGATCCTCTACTTCATGTACTTGAATCATTTCTTCTCATGTGATCTAAATGTTGATAGAGCTAATGCAAAGGAAAACAGTAGTCATTTATTCTGCAAAATACCTTATGCTTTTTTCCCTGATTCTATCAATCATTAAACAGATAATGTTTTTCTGTTATTGCCTTGACATTCATTAACACCCAAGTCATAGGAAATATTTGCAATTAAAAACGTATTGACTATACGTTCCAGTTTCTCTTTGGTTTGCAATAGTTTGATAATAAATAAAATATAGA